GGAGTCTCTGCCCTGGATCACCTCCCCTCCTCTCCTCCTCTCCCTTTCTGACCTCAGTTTTTGCATAGCTATCTCCTTCACAGCTCCTCCTCACCACTCCTCCCCCACTCAGGTTCCCCTTCTTAAATACGTTCTCGCAGAGGCGCAGCCACCGTCACTAATTGGCTTGGCCCTGGCCAGAGGTGGGTCCAGCTTGGAGCCAGGGGAGCTTTGAGAAGCTTCTGACAGGGGCCACTGCTGTACACCCTTCCCCCATTACCAAAGCCCCGCCACACACACAAATCCAACACATGCAGCCAGCAGGAATAAAGCTAATGTATGGGCATTTAACATAGAGGTAATTGGAGTGTCGCATTTCCAGACTGTAGGCAATAACACTAAGAGTTTGAAGTAAATTTTGTTCCAGGTCAGAGTTAATATAACTTTTAAAAAACAAATTTAGAACAAAATTAAAACAGTGTGGAGGTTCAAGAAATATACACTTGTGGTGCGCAATTTCCTTTTATAATTGTATTTAACATAGGTTTTATTATTTTATGATTGCACACACAACACTTTTTGACATTTCAAAATGCATATGACAAAGTATTATTTGAGTTTTTACATATGACAGTCAAAGTATTATCTGAATTTTTACACATGTTCAGGCCTGTAATAACAGCTGAAGTGTTTGTCTTGTTTCCTGAGTTACAGTGGAGCACCAAACTTTTTATGTACCTTTTAACCTTTGAGTTACTTCACTCTGAGTACACTCTGAGGTAGAAAAGATCAAACTGTATAACCTCCCACTGTGCCATACCCTGCAGTACAGCATTATGCTGAACATCACGCCAACGCTCTCCTACAGATTTTTTTTAAACCTGAAATTCTACATTTCTGTGAAGTAACAAATTCAGAGCCCAAACTCTTGTAATTTAAAAATGAATTTTCCCTGCAGAAACTTCTCTTGATATCAACATGTTTTCTGAATGTTTCTCTTTTAACCAACTAACAGCTGTTGTTTCAAAAGAAAAGAGAAAGAGCAAACCACATTTTTAGAAAAACATTCAGCACAAGCTCTTATTTGAGGTCTGGTGCCAGGGATGGCTCTTCCCCTAAGATTTCCCTGTGGGTGATGAGCTTAGCAGAAGGATAATGGTTTGCTGCTGCAGACCGCCCTTTCTTTTGCCTGCTGTGCGCTTCCTAAATCCCTCTCTGTTAGGAAGGGCCACAGAGAGGCCACCAAGACCCTTCTACTTATGAAGGAGAAGTTGAAAAATCACTAGGTCCACGTGCCTCTCTCCCCAGCCCCTTCCCAGCAGGTCTGTCCTGTGCACTGGCTCTTCCCAAGCTACACAACCCCTCCTCGCTCCCCCAGTTGCTGCACCGTCGTCCCTACCTGATGATAGGAGCTCTCTTAATCTTGTAAACTGAAGGAGGGTGGTTATCCTCATCTGCCTCCCTGCCTTGTTATTAATCTCACCCTTCTGTCCTTGCCAAGACATCTATTTGCAGCTTTGCTGGCAACCTGCTTCGGGCTCCGCTGATCTCCCACCTTCCGGAGCCGACGTCTCCCGTGCTGTCTGCACCCACGCATGACACTCACTGCTCCCCACAGACCTCACCTTCCCCTCTGCGGAGCGATGGGCCTCGCTGGGCTTTTTTGTTGCTTAGCTCTCTTTTCTTTCCACTGAGCTCTGACTGAGGAATTGTTCCTCGTTTTGTGCCTAAGGTTAAGAGGCTCAGCTAATTTCCCAGGTGTTCCTCATTGAAAATGTCTCAAAAACAAAAATAGCTAAGTATTTATATGCCCCTTGTTACTGCTCAAAGCATAAGGAAAGAACACTTTCCCTACCATTGTCTGCATTTGACATTTGCTATCATGAAATTTACAGAGGAGCTTGGTATATGGCCCATTTATGTATCATATTTTTATTTTGAAAACCACAGAAAAAAAAAAAAAAAGGCCTCATTGCCATGAAAAAGAATCTGTAACCATATAAACCGTACTTTATAAAACAAGCTGTGGTTTTGTCTCACAGCTCCCATCTCAGATTGTTTTCTCTTGGTCCTTAGTAATGAAATGGCACTATAAACTTATTTTATGTCCTGCTCTGTAATAAAGTACAGCATAGTAGATGGCAGACAGGGGAAATTTATATCCTCAGTCACTCCACTGTGAAAAGTATTGATCGCAAATGAGAATCGTAACCTCAACATATCCAATTTACAAACAACAGAAAAAATGGAGATGGACCATAACAAAGGTATGAAGAAGAGTTCAGTCTTTACCAGCCCCTGATGACTGATGGTGCGATTTGCCCATGGAGAGTAGGAGGGAGCTGAAGAGGGTCGTAGACCTTCCCCTGTGCCATCTTCCTGCAAATAGTTGGACACAGGGCTTGTGTGTGTGCATATGCTCTTCGCAGAAGCACTCTGCAAGCAAATGCTGAGAGACAGTGCTAGAAAATCTGGAGCTCGTCTTCTGGTGCGTGGCAAATGCTGCATCCGCAGCTCCCTGCTTCCAAGTCCTGATGCAGACAGAAGTGGAAGAGTAAATGATGCATCAAAAATAAGCGTGATACTACAGCTGTGACTAGCTGTGGCTTTGGAGAGAGCAGAAAACTAGTCATCCAGTAAGTGTCCCTGAAGATTATGATCCCCATATAAAATTATCACTTTTCTATGCTATTGAAATACACATATGCATTAAGTAAAATGGAAGACAGTGTTAGCTTTTGGATTGCCACTATCTTTAAGCACCACCAAAAATCATGGTTTTGTTTTCCTGCTTCAGATACTTCAGCTTCTGTGGGATATTTCCCTACAAGACGTGCGTAAATATTCTCATGAGAGAAGTGGAAGTTAATAAGGCAATCATTGTTTTTCCTTTATGACAAGTGGTTCACCTCAAATCTCTCTTTTTCCTCTGTATCCAGGGGCTGTGACACATTCCTGCAGGCTAAAATACGCCTAAAAAAAACCCACTAGGGTAAAAAAGGAAAGCAAACAGGAAAATATATTAATGTCTCAGGGGTTTGCTTTTTCTTGCTTTTCCTTCTTATTTCCTTGGTGACTGTTTTCCGCATGAAATCCTGCGGCTGACTGTCACACCATGGGCAAACCAGCAGGGCAGGGCTTTCATGTTACTGCACTCAGCATGGTCCCCACAGCTATTTTGATGGGAGTTGTGGGTGGGCAGGAGGGGTGAGCAGCACTTGGGTGGCCGCTCTGGCTTTCAGATGAAGTTGTATCTCCCTCATACAAGAGGCAGTAGCTTGGACAACTGACAGAGCATCCTGAGCCTGTAACCAGAGAGCTCCACTGGCGGGAGGAATAAGAACAGACACTGAGTTGCCTCCCACTGGAAAATTAAAGAGGAAAAGCTAGCACAAAGATCCTGGAGATTGTAACACGAGAGCTCTGGGGCATCATGCTGCCAGCGGGGAGGGGAGGGGAGGGGAGGAGAGGAGAGGGAGAGGGAGGGGAAGGGGGAGAGGGAGAGGGAGAGGGAGAGAGGGAGAGGGGGAGGGAGAGGGAGAGGGAGAGGGAGAGGGAGAGGGAGAGGGAGAGGGAGAGGGAGAGGGAGAGGGAGAGGGAGAGGGAGAGGGAGAGGGAGGGGGAGAGGGAGAGAGGGAGAGGGAGAGGGAGGGGGAGAGGGAGGGGGAGGGGGAGAGGGAGAGAGGGAGGGGGAGAGGGAGAGGGAGAGGGGGAGAGGGGGAGAGGGAGGGGGAGAGGGAGAGGGGGAGAGGGGGAGAGGGGGAGAGGGAGGGGGAGAGGGAGAGGGAGAGGGAGAGGGAGAGGGAGAGGGGGAGAGGGGGAGAGGGAGGGGGAGAGGGAGAGGGAGAGGGAGAGGGAGAGGGAGAGGGAGAGGGAGAGGGAGAGGGAGAGGGAGAGGGAGAGGGAGAGGGAGAGGGAGAGGGAGAGGGAGAGGGAGGGGGAGAGGGAGGGGGAGAGGGAGGGGGAGAGGGAGAGGGAGAGGGAGAGGGAGAGGGAGAGAGGGAGAGGGGGAGAGGGAGAGGGAGAGGGAGAGGGAGGGGGAGAGGGAGAGAGGGAGAGGGAGAGGGAGGGGGAGAGGGAGGGGGAGGGGGAGAGGGAGAGAGGGAGGGGGAGAGGGAGAGGGAGAGGGAGAGGGAGAGGGAGAGGGAGAGGGAGAGAGGGAGAGGGGGAGAGGGAGAGGGAGAGGGAGGGGGAGAGGGAGAGGGGGAGAGGGAGAGGGGGAGAGGGAGAGGGAGGGGGAGAGGGAGAGGGGGAGAGGGAGAGACAGCCTGGAACGTGCCTGTGTCATACCTGAGCATGAGCCAGGTGTTGGTTCAGTCTTGTGGGCAGCAAGGCAATGGTATGGCCCTGTTGTGTCCTGCACTGGCACAGCGTGTTGCAGGTTTGTGTGCTGCACCTCTCTGGCCTCGCCTGACTTAGCTGCCCAGGCAGAGACCTTCTCTCCTGTCTGAGGTGCCGCATCCAGCACAGCCCTGACACATCCCACCTGCTTCTGGTTCTGCAGAAGCCTGCCTCTTCCCTTGTAGGTGGTCAACAGAAAAGGCAGTTTCCTAAGCTGGGGAAAAATTTGATAGAGTAGAGCCCTGCAGGTAACTTAAGTCAACTTTGTGCAGTCCTACTCAGCTTTGCCTCCAGCCGAGGATGAGGATGCACAGCGAGGTAAAGAGACGGAACACAGAGCTCAGAACAGACAGGATGAGCTACTTGTGTAGCTGGTTGTGCCTGAATGGCATTTGTCACTGTGCAGATGGCTGGAGAACCAGGACAGTGTGTAAGGCCTTCTTCTGACCTTCTTTAATGTTGTGCCTGTCAGCTCAGCCACATGCACGCAGTCACGCTGGCAGAAGTGGCAGGCTGGCATCCAACACAGAAGTACGATGTAGTATCATTCTGTGCAAAGCCGAGGATGTGTATCACTGAAATGCTTATATTTTGCAGTTCTGGTATGTGATATCGTTCTGCACAATTGTAAACGGAATTATAAAATGGGTTTCTTTCTGCCTTTATTTTTTTTTCTAAAGCAGGTCTGAAGAAAGAAGTACAGAAAGATCAGGATGCTAACAGACCGGCTGTCTCATCCCCTAAGAAATCAGTGGTAACAGCCACCAAGCTCCATTCACCAGGTATTTATGGACCCAAAACCACTGCTTTAGGGAAGATTTAAATTTGTCAACATTGCATCTCTTGTTAACACATTAAAATCTGAGACCTACTATTGTTTAGTGAAGATTGATTGTGTCCAAGGTTCATTAAGCTGTCTGTGAGTACAGCAGACTTTATCATACCAATGTATGAGCTGAATAGACTTACGTTTTCTTTGTTACAACCATGCAAACATCTCTCCTTCAAAACAAAGGGTTGTTGCTATTACATGTTTAAGGTCACAGGAACACCTTTTTTTTTTTTTTTTTATCATTATTATTATTTTCTTGTATAAAAAGGGAACAGATAGATACAGTGAAATAAAAGTCACCTCAGACAATTACCTGAAGTGATAGTATATTACTCCAAATCTACTCTTACTGTTGTGCAGAGGCACTAAATTTCCTGGGCTATTTCTATGCATAATTGGAAAAGGGATTATCTATAGAAATAACCTTCAGAGTGTTATTGAGGCATTGTCAATTTATCCCTCACTATTGGGCACAAACACATGGTTTAAGCATTTCTAAAGAATACTTTTGTTAATTTACTAAAATTAAGAGAACTTATTTCTATTTATGTCTATTAATTGTACATTATCGAATGTATAAGGTACCTAAAGGCTTTTGTAAGGCTGGCCGTTGGCAGATCTAAATGCTTCTGAAATGAGTGAGCACGGTCCTGCTAATTTCATTGTGCTTGCAGTTTATCTTGTATTACCTCATTTTTCAAACTCTACTTAAATAATTTTAATGTCATCTCTACTTCCATATGATACTTGAGTTATAATTATGGGAGATGGAACTCCATGTTTCTTCATTTGATGGTAAAATATAAAACATGTACAAAATCTCTTCAGCTCCTGTAACTTGCATCAAGTTTATGTTTACTAAACTCAATCCCTATTCTTCTTCTTCCCAGCCAACAAAATCAAGAAACTGGAAGGTTAAATTTAAACTTTCCATGCACCAACATGACTCAGATTTCTTTTTCTTACTAAGGTAATAGGGTAGAAAAATCAACTTAACACTGTCCTCTGAATCATATAATTTTCAGGCTATTTTACACCTGGTGAGACCACCAAGAGAGATCCAAAGAAAAATTTGTTGCAGAGAGTGTCAGACCAGCAACTCACCAACGTTTATAACAGTGGGAGTCCAGTTTAAGCACCAGCACTGGCTGTGGCTATAGCAGCATGTTACAGCACAGCTGATTTGCTTTCACTAGAATTAGAAAGTAAAATGAAACATAGGCATACTTGTACTATGTGTTTGTATTGTCTTAAGGAGGCCTGCATTTCCATGGGTGACTTAATGATTTTCAAGGCTTAAATTTTTGACATACCCAATTCATGAGGCCTCAAAGATTTCTTCATTCTCATGAAAGGTTGAGTAATTGCCCTCTCTCCATCAGACTGATTTAGGATTTCTTGAGCTTTGTTGTCTGAAATTTTGACAACCTAAAATTGTTTATCACTGTAAGGATCAAATAGGAAAATAAACCTCATCTTCATTTATTTTTTTAGAGTAGCCTTTAGCACTCTTTGAAATATCAACAGCAGTTACAAAGCAATAAAGACAAGCAATTTTTTCACCTATTTAACAATTTCACAAAACATTCAAAGCAGCCATTAAACAGGACAAACAGTGAATATAGCTGGGGCTAAGGCACGGTAGCACTGCCTTTCCTCCATCAGGATCACAAACTCACGTGGCATTTATACTTTGTGATAGGAGAGCATGCAACCCCCAGGTAACTCCACCACAGCTACATGTGGCCACAGAAGAGGATCTAAAATTTCTGAGTGTCCTTTCTAGGTTGTTTTCCCTCTGTTATTGGCCTCCTCACACGCAGTTCCTTTTAATCAACACTGGGTTTTTGGCTGCCATATACTTTTTTTTTCAGCCTTGATTCTAATCTTTAGAATTTGGATCACTCCCCCTGAAGACTTGCAAGGGAGTTTTGAGATGGAAGATTCCTGTAGGGATCTCAATTTCATCTATTGGTGCAGTGCCATTTCTGAAATCTGTGTATAGGAGCAGCTGTACATAGATGCAGGTGCTTTCCTTACATCCCATTGCAGGATGGTGTTTCTGGTATCTGTCACTCTACAGATTGCTTGTTATCAATCCTCTCAAAGTAATTTCCTCACTTTCTTTACCAAAATGTCAGAAATTGGATGGTTAAAAGGCAAATAAATTATATTCCCCATCTAAATCCTCATGGACTGTGTTAATTATGAGTATATGCTTGTTATGTCTCCTTAGTTCAAACACTCAGGTAGATAAAAAAGACCCGGGAGTTTTGAAGCAGATCAAAGGAGCTCAGTGATTTCAGTGTACAGTGGGTCTGCCCCCTTGGTCCCACCATCGGCAAAAAAAGGACACTCAAGATAAGGGCCAGCGTCATTAATATATACCCTGGTTTGTGCAGAGCAACAGAAGAGAGACATCAATGGCAGAATGAGCTTAGTAAGCTTCTTTTCAGACCCAAATGAACCAAGAAATTCAGATTTATCCCTGAGGAGAATAACACAGCTTAATTTACAAGGACATCTTATAATACTGACAAGGACAACTTAGAGATGTGCACTTCAAATGTTCCAGTGTACAGGAAAGCTGGAAAGATATAAGACAAAACAACCTGATGGGTTTCTGCTTTAATTAAAACTGGACTGATTTCAAGGGCTTCCCCCTACACTTCTCCCTCTGCATTCTGTTGTAACATCACCGTGATGTCTAAACAACCTGAGATTTTTATACTAAAAAGACAGATATTTATGGCTGTTGCTTTTACGAATTTCTTGTTTTGTGATACCTACTGCCCAGTTAAGATCCACCGTAAAATGGAAGAAAGCATCTGTAACAAAATATCATTCCTGCACAAAAAGATGTAGAGGCCTTAACTGACATGAAAATGGATAGAAGTCAATAGCTATGCTAGTTGAACTCTCTTAATGACAGAGTCCTCTCTAACACCCCGTATTGTATTATTTAGGTCTTGCAACATCACAAAGTTAGTCTTGACATGTTGTGAAACCTGGTATTCCTCTTTGCAAATGCAAGTTGTGGGCACAAAGAGTTTCAAAGGCTGTTTTGCACTTGTGGCTCTGTGAAATTGAAGCATGAGATACTTGGAGACATGAGGGACTATCTCTGCTGGAACTAGCTCCCTGTAAGCTTAGCCTGGAGCCAAAACGTAGTTGAATAAGTTGGAAGATATGTTCCCAGTGGCTCCACACAAGCTGGGTATCTGGAAAAGTAGGAGCATGCTGCTGGAGTATTGCTCTGACAAAGTCATATTTCTTCCCTGCCTGATCTAGTAAAATTGCCCAAAGGATCCATTCTCATACCCAGGCCACAGTCTTAAAGATCTAAAATATCTAAAGCACATCTGCCAAAATCACCTCTGGAACAATGCTCTACTTCACAAATTGGCTCAAACTCATATGATCAGATGCATCTCTGTAGAAGGATTCTTCTGTTTTTTTAGGAAGGGGGTAGGTAGTATCCATGGCAGAATACTGTCCCCTGTTACATTCATTGTTGAGGACTGGTTGAAGGCATTGTTTCTGTATTATTTTTCAGGAACTGCATACAACAAGAATATAAAACTACAAAATATCATTTTTTTCACATTCTTGCATACCCAACCCTTTCTGCTAACACATAATTGTTTGGTTTTCATCTGTATCCAGATGCACGTCCACCATTTCTAGTAACAGATGGGAACAAGGTGTCTCTCTCTATGTTATCCTTCTTTCTTATTGACTGTAGCTCCTAGGCTAAAAGCTTGAGACTAGGGGGAGGACCTTGGAAGAGAACCAGAGATTCCTGGTCAATATTCAGGAATGAGCTAAAAAGCATCAGCTGAGGAGAGACTGAGGGTAGCAAAAAGAATCAGTAAGCTGTGCAAAGGTGTTGCCCAGCTGACCATAAATGTTTTCAGAGGAGAGTTCTCAGAAAGCTAAGAAAAAAAAGACAAAACAGATTGTCTAAGCAGTGTCTTGACCACCCTGACACTACCAGAACCCTACCCCTTCTTTTTTCATCCTCATAACTCAGTATATCCAGAGAAACAGATAGTTGACTCAAGCAGTATATGAACATAATTTAGGATGAAATCCTCACTTCCCTGATGTGGCTTATCATGAGTAAGGTTTTGTTCCTGTGCCATTCAAGTGACTATGACACTGTATTTGAGCTGATACCCTAAAGACAAGCTACAGTAGTGGTTTCACATCTTTATACAGGATCAGGCTTGACTCAAGCCAACGTGGAACACATCAGAGGAGCCAGAGTCTGTCTAGACCCATTGCTGCAGGCAGACCATATAGTGATTCTGGGCTGACCAATGGTCCAGAGAGAGCAGCCATGTAGAACCAGTGGTGTAACCAGTCAGCATTACATGGTACCTGATGGCATTTCTATACGTATCTGTTTTGTGCTGCAACTTTAGAAGTGTTATAAAAAGGAGAGCAAGGGCAACTGGCAAGGTAGACTGCAGTATTGTTACTATTGATAAAAAGAAATAGTGATATCCCAATAACAAGCATCCTGTGCTGTGTTTGCGTCCAGGGAAGGACAGCTCCAGCCCAACATTGCCCCATTCGGAGGCAAAAGGAAATCTGCAATGGAAAAGTAAATCTGGCACATCTGTCAAGCCACCAAGCTTGAGGTTCAGGTGGCCAAAGAAATTGTGTGTAGAGTGTAATTGTCATCCAATTGTTTCCCACATCCACAATAGGATAAGGTGAATCTCAACCTGGAAGTGCCCATTTCTCTCACTGCCATTCAGGAGAGTTCAGCATCACACGTCAAGATGCAGACCTCTGTTCTTGTAGATGTCTAACATAGGTGAGATGAATCCTTCCTGTAACGACCTCAGTTCTCAGTAAGACACTCTTAGGAGAGCTCTTCTCAATTCATAGCAGACCTTCAGGCTCTGAGCCTGAGGTGAGATGGCTGTTACTAAACTTTGAGCTTTGGCCCCAGGGGAGATATATTTTGCTGTGCTCTCGCTCTTTTTGAAAGTCATTACAGATGTGTGTGACTTCTACAGACCTTTTTTTTTTTTTCTCATAAAGGTCATGTCCATACATATAAAGTAAGTGACATTGGTGGTCTTTTCTTCTCTCTTTCGTAGGACATCCCAAGCAAAGGCCAACCACCCCAAAGAATGGATTTTCCCCCAAACCAGGAGAAAGTCGAGATGCTGAAAAGCAGTTCGTTCAGAGACTGAAGGAAAAGTGTGATGAGCAGTCCCGGCAATTAAACAATATTCGAGATGATCTTAAAAGGGCCAGCTGTGGATTTGATGTCTTCGCTATAACAACACAGCACTTTTTCAGGCAGGTAAGTGCAATGGGTACTTTTTACCATTAGAAAGACTCTACCTTTACACCAGTCACTTAACCAAATTCATTCCACTGTCATTGAAACTTTGTTCTTGGGAGCAAAGCATGTAAGTTCTTTGCAACGGTTATTATGAGAAGAGAATTATTATTAGATGCCATGTATTTGAAAATCAAAATTCAGGAACTTGGAAGATGAGCAATAATAACTGAAAAATTTGTCACAATCACAGAGGAATTTTAAGGTGTTTTTAGGTGTGAATCAGATGCAGAAACTTAGAAGTCCCAGTCCCTGACTGCTACATCTGGAATGGAAAGTGTAACTGTGATACTGATACTTGCGAACAAATGCACAAACAATCCATGCATGTAGTGAACCAGAGGTGCTGGATGAAGAAAAAGATTTTCTTTCTCACAGTACTACTCTAATGTTCCTGTTGCCACAGATCAGTCAGTGTAGTCCCTGTTGCAGTGGTTCCGATGCCTGAAGATATTAGAATAATATTATCTCAGCATTTAGGAGATTACATTCAGCAGGCATAGAGAACATAAAGAAAATGTCATCAGTAATTAAAGAAGATTATTTATTCACTAAACCCAAGATAAAATTACTAGAGTTTAAAAGATGAACACAACACAGTGACCATGAAGGACTTGTAGGCATTGCTTGTTTCAAAAGCCATTTAGTGATGTGGGAAAGCCAACTGGGCTATGAGGTCCATATCTGCTTCCCCTGATGCTCATGTATTTTGTACCACCCGAGGTTAACCTGGTGTCCCAACTGCCCTGTAAAACAGGCAGACAATCACCAGCAGTGGGACCCAAGATTTGGATAATATCCTTGATTGCCTGTTTGCCTACTTTTGGAAGAGAAAAGAGTAAACTTTCAGAATTATATGGGAGAAAGAAAATCAGAAAAACAAAACACAGATTCAAACGGTCTTTACAAATTCTGGAATACTTTATTCAGGGTTTTTTTTTTTGTATTAGTGGGAAAGGTTACCTTTGAACAAACACTGTAGTTCACACTTCTCCCTAAGTAGGAGCTGATCTTGCTGGGGGAGCTTCAGTGAACTGAAAAAAACAGGGACTTTTTTAAAAGTAGTAAATATTTTAAGTATCTTCCCAGGGGATTTTCCCCCCTGTATTTTTCTTTCGTCTTGACATTTCTGGGCTTGATGGGCATTTGTAAAAGCTTTTTTTTTTTTTGCTTTTTTTTTGGAACTGACTGTGGAGTGTCCTTGATTAAAGCAGAGGGAAAACAAAAAAGGGCAGAGCAGTGTCTGCTCAGCTTTGTCTATGCATTGTCCACTGGGGAGTGATTTTTCATCTCATGCCTCATTCACAGTTTGCTGAAGGAATTCTGGAAGCTTGGGCATATCTCCTTCGTCTCCTCTGGGTATGTTTTAATAGAGAACAGCTGCTGCAGCTGAGCTTTGAGATGACTCTCATCCTTTTGGTGTATGTTAGATCTGTCCTTAGAATGCCTCCTAAATTGAGCACCCCAGGGGACTTTATTTAATAGAGTCCTCCCCAAGTCCTGGCCATGCATATCTGTGCCTCATGTTACTAGCTCCTCTGCACTATCAGTCCAGCTGGGGCTATGCAGTGCCTGGAGGGCTTGGAGATAAAAAATAATATATCTGTGGAATTTAAGTGCCTTCAGGCTTGGGCCTGATTAGTTGTAGATTTTTTTCAGATCCACTTCTGGACTCACTACCTGTGTTCAGCCTGAGTGTCAGTGCCCTCTGGGCTTGCCTGGTTGCTCTGGAGTGTAGGTATATCTGCACATCACCGTTCAGTGCAGTGCAAGACATTTGTGACTTGCTGCTCGCTGCTGGGAGCCGTGTAACGTGGACCCCTCTCAGGCAAAGATACCTCTGGCTTTCCTGGGTGATGAGCTGCACGGTCAGCATGAGCCCAACAGTCGGGCACTCAGATGTGGTACCTACATCAGGAGTACAGTTGCTTTAGACTCCACTTTTGGTGAATGGAGGCAGGTGAGCACTTCCAGAAGACTATTTACAGCACCAAAGGTCTGAATTTCTGCTTGAGGTACTTGCCTGTCTTGACTGAGGCCTCCAGGGATGCCTAAGGCTGCTGCACTTTTAAATTCAATGTTTAAGTTGAGAGCCTTCGCGTAGTGGGATGGTCTGGGTCTACTCAAGCAATTGCATAATTGAGCAGTCTGTTATATTGCAACATAGACACAGACTTCCAAGTTTTTGAGTGTCATTCGAAAACACAATCTGTAGACATTTTCTGAGATGGCATTATTGTTTGAAAACTTGAGCAAAATTGCGTTGGCTGGCTTTCAGTTAGGGCAGCATGGAAAAAGAAACTTTTCCCATTATAATAATAATAATAATTGTATGTGTTTGTTTCTGAGAAGCCTGCAGGCAAAATGGTTGAGGTCTGAGTAGCACTGCAGTTTGGCAATAGAATAATATTCATTCAGGAACAAGGTGGGGCCTTATTCCAGAGAAGTTTGGGGTTGATTTGTCCAACTGACAGTTCTACTCTGCTTAGCAGAGGGCCCAATCCTACTTTGGTGCTAGAGAGCCTCTTTGGGCTGATAGCCATAGCCTAATTTTAGTATGCCTCTCTCTCATTATACCACACCAAAATAATGTCCAAAACATAGATTTTTCTCCGAATTCTGCTGGAAAATGTGTTTCCAGTCAGCAAGGACTGGACTGAGACTTAAAAGCAACCAAAGGACCAGCGTTTTGCACACAGGTAGGAGTCTCCCCATGCCTGCGGCTCTGTTGTCTCACCCACACTGTTTCAGTTCTCTCTCCAAAGTTGGGGAAAACACGAATGCAAGTGGTCTAACAGACATGTTTAGATGAAGAAAGAGATTGTCAATATGCAGTAACGAGTGCTGACCCACACCAGCAGTTTCTTTGAGTACTTTCCAGTTTTAAGCACTTTCTGTAACAACCTTAAGGTTGCATGACCAATTTCTTTGGGTTTTGTTGGATTTGTTTTCTGGCTGTTCCAGACCACTGCTGAATTGTATCCTGGAATCATCTCTCTTTCTCAGCCAAAAATACTCCTAATAGGCAAGATTCGTTTAATAGGCATCAAGGAGTACACAACATGTAGCAGTACTTAATACAGACCCATTAAATGACAGCTAAACCAATTTACTGTCTTGAGAAAAAGCCTAGGCAACCAAAGCAGGTGGTGACTGAGGCAGTGGACAAAAAAACTCTGAGGCAGAGGTTCTGACATAAGCATATAGCTAGTTATGAAAAGTAATGATCGCAGTGCCTGTGGACAGCATGGCTTCTAATTATTATTTAATTAGCAGATTAATTAGTTAAGGCCTTCAGATATGCATGCATCACTCCTGTTGATTTTGGAACCGCTTCAAACTTATTCTGAAAAGGAGCAGATTTAGTTTGTCCTTAGTGTTGGATGTTTATCATGTCAATACAACCCTTGTGCTGCGAGGGATACTCCAAAGTGAACAACTGGCTGGTGGTAGCCGGAGTGGTACTGTGACAAGGACACCATGAAGACTTTTTAGAGCACATATCACGAGCGGCCCCCCCTGACTTGGGTCACTCCCGACCTGGTCTGGCTTGTTAACCCAGTAATAAGGACAGTCCTGGCCCAGTTTCAGCCCTGATCAGTGCAGTGGCCAGCAGTAGTCCCTCTTGGAAGTGGTAGCAGTGCCATCTAAAGGAGAGTAGCCCAAAGTGACAAATTCTGGAGGGTAAATCCTTCTGGAGATAAACACGGAGGAAAAAAAAAAAAAAAAAAATCCACTTTCATATCTCTAGCACGTTCAGAGCAGATGTGTTTGTGCTGAGAACTGTAGTGGCCAAACTGCACTGAGGCCTTGGAAACTGGGAGAATGTCCTTCTGCCAGTACAGCATGCCCAAACAGCTGAAAAGCGGAGTCCTGTTAGCAAGTTCTGCCTCTGAAATTTCAAATTAGGACTCCCGAGCTATAGTGCATGAGAGGGGAAGAGATCCTTTCTGGGCTGCAGACCCCAAGGGTGGGAGCAGGTAAGAGAAAGGGTTATGCTGGGCTAGTCTATTCTGTATTCTGCATGGGCACAGAGGGGTTTCCAGACTTGCAGCACAGCCTCATGCTGCAGTCTTCATCACAGGGGGAAAACTGCTCCGAACAGGTCCCAGGGAATGGGGGAAGCACATAGATGCCCTGAACAAGAGCTGGAACAGCACTCCAGTACTTGATGGCATCCCAGCACTCTGTGTCTACCAACATTGGAAAAGATGTGTCACTAGTAACCAGTGTGTGTGTTTGTCTCCACACCTGAGTGTGGATTACTTTTGGGTGGGTATACAATGCACACCTTCCAGACAAGTAGATGCACATAGCATCCTACAAAATCCTAGGATGGACAAGGAAAATCTTTTCCCCCATTCAAATAACTGAGATATGCATGTGTTCCTGTATATTTTTTAGAGTAATGTTTCTGCCCTGTGAGTGGACAATATGCCACCCAGTGTCATGTAACTACCTTGTCCTAACGCTAAAGACCTCTTGTGTTAGAGGCAAAATTGGTTGCACTTGTTATAAGTTGCTTAGAACTTCCTACCGTTGCATACAAAACAGTAATTGGGGCTAACATTTCAAGTGCTTATCTCAGGCTGAGCTGAAAATGGTTTATTTTCACAACTGTCTCTGAAAATGAGTTTCGGAGAAATACATTTATTGTTTGTGCCTGGTGGTGACGCAATGGTAGGAAGCCAGCACACATCAGAAAGACTGACCTTCTGGCTTTCAGGGGTAATACTTTCCCAACACTTGCAAAATGTGTTAGAATTTGGCCCAAGAATAATCCTTAGAAAAGTGCCACTCCTCACTCATCATTATTACAGCTTGGCTAGATTTCCTGTATTTAGCAAGCCCAGTCTTTTCTTTGCTCCTACTGGTGCCCAGATCAGTCAGAACAACTCAATCTTTTCATTCTGTATCCTGGAAAATATCCATTTTGGACCCATCAAGCCCTGACAGCTTAG